GAGAGGTGTGTGTGTGTGTGTGTGTGTGTGTGTGTGTGTGTGTGTGTGTGTGTGTGTGTGTGTGTGTGTGTGTGTGTGTGTGTGTTCTGTCGGCGGAGGCCCTTCCACGTAGGGTTGGGGCTTCCAGATTGATGTCGAGAGCGTGGGAAGAGGACTCGGCGTCTGCTTCTGTAGAAGTGCAGGCTTTGGCGTCAGGGAGGCCGGGTGCAGATCCCACCCTGCCGCCCTCTGTGTGCCCAGTGACCTAACCTCTCCCCCTGGACAGTGGATCTAGGACACTACTCGCCCCGAGGACTGATCACGGACACGGTGTGGGCTGCTCTAGTTGAAGGTTGAGTTAGTCATCTGAATGTGGGAAAAGGATCAGAAAATATCAGCTCGTAAAGCTGAAACGGGTGAAACTTAGAATGAAGGAGTGTAATGAGAGGGTCCTCTGTGGAAGCGGCTGGGTTGGAGGAAGGATAGTCTGTACGTCTTGGACGCCACCGAGGAGACGAAGTCTAAACAAGATGGCAGGAAGACGGTGCCTGGAGCGTCCTTGGCTGACAAGCTGTGTTGGTTGCAAGGATGTCTATGTGGGGAGGGGAGAGCACGATGGCCAGTGGTTGTCAGCCCCTCTGGCTGGAGGGCCCAGATCCCTATGGGGAGATGATGGTGTGTCTTGAGCTGGGCTCACCCGGCATCACTCACAGAGACTGAACCCTCCCGAGGGGTTGGTGAGGCTCCCGCCCTGACCTTTGGGGAGGACCCCACACTTTTTCCTGGCTCTGACTGCGAACCTGATCGTATTCTCTCTCTCCGGTGTCTCTTCAGCTGCTGATGTGCCTTGTTTTTGAAGCAGGGGGGTGTTCTGTGTGCCCTTTGTGTCCTGGTCTCCCCTGCAGGGAGGGGGCGGGGGGCAGTGCGAAGGCAGGAGGGGGTTAGAAAGCTTTGGCTGGTCCCCGCCCCAGCTGGGTGTAAGGAGGATGACCAGGCATCTTGATTTGCTTCTTTTACATCGATTGTGTGGGTCAAGTATTTGTCCTTCAGCCCCCTTCCATTCCCCAAAGCAGCCTAGTACAGTTGTGTGGTGCGGTGGATGTGGACTCAGGCCACTGTAAGTGCCAACCCAGGCCCCACGCAGCTCGTCTTCCTGCCCTCTCCATCCTGGGCAAAGGTCCAAATAGGAAAATGCACTGGATTCTGACTCGGGAGAGCCTGGCATCCCAGCCTCATCTGCACCCACTCATCACTCAGCTCTGTGAGAGCCTCCGGAGACTTACTTTGATGAATGGCCGTATCCTTAAAATGAAGACATTGATTTGACATGGTTTTTGGGCTGTAACTTTCTGGCTGCTGTGACTTCGAATATTTAGTTTCTGGAAGGTCTGGTAGCATGAATCACTTTGTAAGTTTATTTAATTCTGAAATGGTAAATCGTCACGCTTTAAAATCGTCTTTGCTTCTAGATATGACTGTCACTTTGCCTTGTTTACTTTTTTCTATTTCAGGAATTTTTTGTTAACAAGTGGGAAAAAGGATGGGGTTGCTTTTTGCTTCATTAAATCAAATGAAGGAAATCAGAAAAGTTTCCTTTTGATTAAAAACTGGGGTATACACTTATTCTGTTGTTAACAGCTCTGTAGTGATTTATTTACATGGTGTAATCCTTATGAAAGTAGTATTCAAGAATACTGTCAACATTGAAGGAGTTTTTTATTAAAATCTGTGGTAATTGTATCTTTTGTGGTTTTTTTTTTTTCTTCTTTCAGGTTTTCAAAACCCTCGGCACCGATGTCGTGAAGTCTGCATTTGAAGGTTATAATGCATGTGTCTTTGCATACGGGCAGACTGGATCAGGAAAGTCATACACTATGATGGGAGATTCTGTACGTTGTTTACAGTGTGTGGGAAGAAAATTTCTCATTACCTCTCTCTGGACTGATAAAAGTATCTGTTATCTACGTGGTCTGTACTAACTTGCTTTTCATGTTCTGATCATTCTTTAGCAATAAGGTAAAACTCAGTAATAAGTTGGGTGAAATTTCCTTTGAGAGATTTTAAATTAGAAATAGTTTTAAGTTTATAAGCCTGAATAATGGATGGGAGTCTCAGTTCATTTTCTGTTTTTAAAGGCTTTATAATCTTGTCAAAAAAGTATGCTGGGCCTACAAGTAATTTATTCTTCTTTTCTGCCAACCCAACAATTTGAATAAAATTATTGAACTCTGTTCTATTTAAAATTATTCAAAACATTTTTCCCCAAGAAAAATGTGAAAAAAAGAGCCTCTTTGGTGGAAAGGTACTACATAAATCCAGTGAATACATAAAAGATGTTAGAGTTATACAGGTTATATAGAGTCTACATAGTTATAAATATAGAATGTAGAGTCTAGTAGTTATGCTGTACAAGTTAAGAACCTTAAAGTTATACTTGCCCCAGAATATGGCAGAGGAAGAACTAGATGTGATTGTAGGAACTTATCCCATTCTGTGTTTTCTCTAGACCTGGATAGTGCTTGTGTGTTTTACTTTTCTCATGTCGTGGTCTTGAAGACTGTTCACTGAGTCTGAGAGGTGCCAGCCTGTTCTAGATGTGGGGGGACTAGCAGAGGATGGCTGGGTTTCCTGCTGGCAGGCTCGGTGGTGCCTTGAATGCCACAGGCTCGATGGTTAGTGGAAGAAGCAATGCATTAAGGGAGGACACGTCTTTCCAGATGAAAGCCTTTGAGTGCATGTGCCCTGGCTTCTTAAATCCAGGCATTTTCTTTCCAGGAGAAGAAAATAAATGCTGGGCAGTGACTCCTCAGTGCTGAGAAGCAGGGAAGAACAGGAGAAGTACAGACGGTTTCAAGAGTTTCACATTTTTCCTTTTACCATTACTTGTCTCCTCCTACTTTCCTACTGTGCCGTTGGAGAAAAAAGCCTTCTCTAAAAATGAAATGTACATGTTGATTCCCTCTTAGCTAGTTTATGTAAGTTCAACAAAGCACTCATAAGTTACAGCTGTTTTCCTCTGACCTTACAGTTGAGTACCATTTGGGTATTCTTTTTTATTTTATTTTTTAAAGTAAGAACAAAAGATGTGGTGAAAGGCCCACTTTTTCTTTACAAGAATTGATACTGATTTAATGGTATTAAGGAAAAAAAATTCTCCTAAACCTGTGATGATATATATATATATTTATTTTGGGGATGGGAGATTGGGTGAAAGTAGGGAGGGATTTCAGAAGAAAACACTGAAGCCCTAAAGTCTGGCTTTCTAACAAGAACATTTTTACCTCGTCTTTGGTACCGTTCTGAAGCCCGTCAGCGTGTCAGTGCCGACCGAAACATGAATATTTGAAAGCTAGAGAATAAGTCGTCTTATGTTTGCAAGCCACGATTTAGCTGATGAACAGCTGATAACTGTATATTATCATGGTCCCAGCAGGTAGAAATTCGAAAACTCAATCCTCTCATTTCAGAGAGTAGGAAGCAGCCCTGCAGGGGATGAGTGCTGGGCCCTGGGCCCTGGGCCGGGCCTGCAGGCCCCTGAAGTCTGAGTCCACCCCAGCCAATTGCAGATGCAATCGTCGGTTGCTTTTATTTCAAGTGACAGCTGAGGCGTCCCTCCTTCCCACTGCAGGGCGATTCTGGCTTAATACCCCGGATCTGCGAAGGGCTCTTCAGTCGGATAAATGAAACCACCAGATGGGATGAGGCATCGTTTCGAACTGAAGTCAGGTAGGGCCCATGGCCTGAGTAACTGAGTGTGAGCTTGATTTAAGGCACAAGGAGTGGATAAAGCCTTTGGATTCCTTAGGGCAGAGTCTGCCTCTCCCCCTCCTGTGCTGTGCCAGTTGGAAGGCAAGCCTAAAGCACATACGTGTTCAGTGACTTCTTGGGTACCGTTGGCATTTGGGAGGCAACCCACCTTGGTCGGAAGCTAACGAAGGATGCTCATCTCAGATGGAGTCAGCTTTTGACCCACTTGCCTTATTCTTTTATTTGAATAGGATTTGTGTTATTTTTTATGTCGGTAGGATCACTATAAATCTAGTATTTAAATAAATCTGGGTGCTTGAGGTGTTTTTTCCTCCTTGAACTTAAAACCTGTGTGGGGAGGCAGTTTCGTCAGTGGTCTGGGGGCAGACGTGGCAATCAAGGCTTCTCCTGGCTGCCTGACCCCGCAGAGGCTGTGAGGCCTTGGATAAGTTGTTTAAATCACCCTGAGCCTCTATTGCCTAACCTGTAAAATGGAGATAATAGTAGTGCCTACCTCTGGGCTATTGTAGGGATTAAATGAAATAATCCACGTAAAGTGCTGTACCTGATACATGGTTACCACCCATAAATGTATGTTGCTGCTGTTATTGTTGTTGTTATTAATGTCTGAAATCATCTTACTGAATTCAACTCTATTTGAAATTTTTAGCTACTTAGAAATTTATAATGAACGTGTGAGAGATCTACTTAGACGGAAGTCATCCAAAACCTTCAATTTAAGAGTCCGTGAGCATCCAAAAGAAGGACCTTATGTTGAGGGTAAGAGTGAATGTTTTCACAGCCCTATTCTTCTTGGGAATTTTTGTAAAAATAACAGTTTCAGAGAAAAAAATTGTAGGATAATGGCGAGATTTCAAAAATTTATTTTTGGAATCATTATAGTAAAAATTGCATGTGCTGTCACTGCACGATGTTCATTTAATGCGTTTATACTTCACTGGGCATTTGCTGATTTGTGGGGCTTTGCCAATAGATTTCCTCTGGCTTTAAGAACTCCAGAAACTTGTTTTTTCCAAGTTCCCAGGAAAGATAAGCAACCCTACAGCCTGTCTCTTTAAATGGCCTTGCGTTTTAGCAGTGTGTTTTTACTGACCTTAATAGTAACATGATTATAGGGCGACTCTGAGACCTCTCGCCTTTGGGAAGATTGTTTGCAGGTTCCTGTGCTGTGTTCTCGGCCTTTGTATTGTGCTACACTAGTTGTGTCACGGTCCTTTGTGAGGAATGTCCCAGGGAATGACGGGTGAAGGGCTGGCCCTTGCGAATTATTTTAAAAATAGGCTGGATCGAAGGCTGTCTTTGGAATAGAACAGTCAGCTCTACACACTTCCTCTGTATACGGCTGCTGAGTTAAGGCTGGCCTATGAGAATCGCACACAGGTAGGCTTTCCTGTGGCTATTGTCATTCCTGTGTGTCTCGCTGGAGGCAAGGCTGAGAACTGGTCATGGATTTAAAGACGTTCCTGTTTCCGTTGTCTTTTTTACCTGGTTATACCGGGTGCACCAACAGGTCCTCGTCTGCATTTTAGTAAATTTTCAATTGAACTTTTGCTTTGTAATGCCCAAAGTGATATGTGTAACTATGTGTTTGTTCTGTGGAGCGTGGGATAACTATTATTGTTAATAGTTTTTAGCCTAACTGTGCCTTCATGTTTTCCCTTTAACTGTCTTATCAGATGTTAAAACATATTACAAAGCTGGGTTTGTGAGGAGACGGAATAATCAAGCAGGGTGAAACATCCAGAATCGGGTGTAGATACTTAATGGGGATTTAGTTTCTAATAAATCTGCTACTCAAACATTGGGGGAATTAAGCTGTCTAGGAAGAAGAAAAAAGTAAATTGGTACCGGAGCTCAGTTTTTATACTAGGGTAAATGGCAAATGGATCAAATATTTAAATGTAAAAAGTGACATAATGACTGCAAGAAACCCTGGATTACTCCTATAAATTTGGAGAAGGGAAGTCTTTAAAAATTTTTTACTTAAAATCCAGAAGCCATGAAATAAAAGTGTTAAATTTGAAATGGTGAAAGAAAACAAAACAGAAAACCAACTTTACACTTGGCAGAAACACCAGAAGCAAAGTAAAAAGGCAGTTTACAATGTGGAGGGAATATTTTCAATTCAAGTTTCAGACAAAGGCCTTGTTAAGTCTAATGTATAAAGAGCTCCTATAACTTAATAAGGGCAGCTCCAAAACCAAGGAGAAAAATGAACAAAGGATGTGACTAGATTGTCCACAGAAATGGAAATACTGATGATTTTTAAATGGAGGAAAGAAGGCTCAGCCTCATAATCAGAGAAAAGCAAAATAAAAATTCTTCAAGCTAGCATCTGTTAACTGTCCTGGCAGATGTAAGGAACCTGGTAAGACAGTGTTGAGAGACAGTCTTACACCTTGTTACTGTTGGGTGTAAAGTGCCTTCTATAGAGGACAGTTTTGTGATATCCATCAAAATTTCAAATGTGCTTTCATCTAGCAATTCCACCTCTTAAGAATTTATTTTGCGGAAATATTCACACATATTCGTAAAAACCGAAATACAAGATTATTTGTAGCAGCGTTACTTGTGTTGGAAGCAAACTCTCAACAACCTCTGTAGTCGCAATAGGAGACTGTTGGTTACAGTACATGCATAGAATCGAATGCTGTGCAGCCATAAAAATGAATGAATGAAGGGTCACTTTAACTGATACAGAATATTCTTCAATGTGTTATTACACAGAAAAAAGCAGGATGCGAAACAATGTGTATGGTATGCTACTATGTATAAAAGGGGAAAAAAAGATGGCTTAATATATATGTAGTTGCCTGTATACATATAGGTTATTTCTGGAAGGTCTGGAGAAACTAATAATGTTGGGTTGCCTGACAGAAGGGGAAGTTGGGGGTGGGTTATTGGATGGGGGAGGGGGAAGACCCTTTACACAGTATACTTTTTGTAGCCTTTGATTTTAGAACCGTATGAATGTTTCCCAACAAATGAATGGAAAGTTTCTTTAAAAGGGATTTAAAAGAATGTGTGTTTTGCATGGAGATAGTGTTTATATTTCCCTGGCTATGATTAGTGCTAATGAGGTTGATGAAGATAGCTCACAGGTATCCTAAATACCATATGTGATAGGTATGCGTTATCAGGATTGGTGACCGACGCTCAGTGAGGTTAAGTGACTTGCTCACAGCCGTGAAAGTCCACTAGTCAGCCGCAGAGCCTGGACTTGACCCCAGACAGCCCAGCTCCTGAGTCTGCGTTATAAACCACCACAGATTTGTACAGTCGTGTACTATTTCATAGAGGTACATTTCTTCTTCCATCTACTAGATACTGGGGAGATTTCTTCACACCCCCGCCTTTTTTTTTTTTTTTCCAGATTTATCCAAACATTTAGTACAGAATTACGGTGATGTTGAAGAGCTTATGGATGCAGGAAACATCAATCGGACCACCGCTGCCACAGGGATGAATGATGTCAGCAGCAGGTCTCACGCCATCTTCACCATCAAGTTCACGCAGGTGAGGGCAGCTGTGGGGTGGGGGTGGGGGGCTCTGTCCCTGAGGGCTTTCCCTGCTGATTGGCACCAGCTGAGGACCGATCTGTGGTGAGCCAGGAGAAGCAGAGGTGGCCGACTGCCGTTTTCTCGTTCATTAGACTTGAACGTGTGCTGTGTGCTGATTTCTCCGCGGTTACATTTGAAATGCAACCTGATGTATACCCGTAAGAAATATTTAGCAGGCTTCTGCTGTGTTCTAGACATTAAAAAACTTGCTTTGTGCTTAATTAAGTCAAAGTTTTCATTGCTGCCAGCTCTGTGGGAAATAACAGGGTTGCCAGTCAGAGCAGCTGGAGGCCAAGGTAACTCATCGTGGTCCATTATGGCTCTGTGGAACTCACCCGCAGTGCTGCGTGTGATTATTAGAGTGATATTAAAGGACAAGGGACGTCTTTAAGTGTTAATGTAGGAATTCATTATGATCTGGAGGTGGAGCGCATTTTGAACGTGTGTAAATGACTCAGGGCAAATACGTTAACACCGAGACCGGTGGAACGGATGAACATAAAGGTGTGGGGTCCTCTCAGTGCTTCGCACATGTTAGGAGTTTGGAGAGGACCTGGACTGTATTAACCATTGAACACATCAGATAGAAAAACTTAACCTTTCATTAATGAGGAGGCTCAGAGAGCAAAGAAGATGAAAAAATTCTCTAGGGTCAGTCGGAACAACTCCTGATAAATTCTCTACAAATTTACCTTTCTTTAGACCTTTTCTTTTGATTTACTGTAGTTTACTGGTTTTTTTCTCCTGTTTTCTGGTTAATGTGGATTAGGATGTGGCCGTCCCTAGTTTCTAAGAGGCTTGCTTTTCGATCACAATATGGTAATTTCTTTTTGGCGTTTCGGTTCAGACTGTAAAATGTAGGTTAAACGTCTTTGGGAAAGTAAAATTTCGGTAGAATTCAGAATCAAGGAATACAGAATTTAAGATTTTCACTATTTTATAATTGTGAAACAGATCAAATTTTAACATCGAATAATGGTTGAGTGATCTTTCAGATAATTGTCTATATTTATCATATTTTGGAAAGCCATTGTGCTTGTAATTGTTGCAGTTTTTGGATGAGAACAAAACTAATTATTTGTTTGCTTACATTTTTCTTTGTGGAATGCCCCTCAGGGCCTAGTTTCCTCATCTGCTGTGGTCAGACTCAGCCCTTTTGAGAATGACAGTGATTTGGGTAATGGCATCCGTAGTTCTTCAGAAAGTTTAGGAATCCATATGGTAGGCTTCTGTTGTATTCAGTTTAATTTTTGTAATCAGGAAGAAAGCCAGTGAAACAACAAAATTAAAAAAAAAAAATCTACCCTGAGAGATCACAGCGAGGAGCGGAAAATAATTAGAATTTGTGTTATAAACACATAAAACATATAAAAAATGTTATATAAACATTGGGGCTCTTTATACCTCCTCCACTTTGCTTTTATATTTCACCACAGGCAAAATTTGATTCTGAAATGCCATGTGAAACCGTGAGTAAGATCCACTTAGTCGATCTTGCCGGAAGTGAGCGGGCAGATGCCACTGGTGCCACCGGGGTCCGGCTGAAGGAAGGGGGGAACATCAACAAATCCCTCGTGACTCTGGGAAATGTCATTTCTGCCTTAGGTGGGTTCATACTTGTCTGCTGCCTCTTCTCGTTCTTGGTGGTGTCATAGCGCGGAGCACTTAGGTTTAATGTTTGTGTCACAAACCGGAGAAATAGCCTCGAGGTTTTTTTGAAGCTGAATTAGAGGAAAAAGTCTTTAATGATTGTCTTTAACTTTCTCCCCCCTTTTCTTTTTCTCCTACAGCTGATTTATCTCAGGATGCAGCAAACCCTCTTGTAAAGAAGAAGCAAGTTTTTGTGCCTTACAGGGATTCTGTTTTGACTTGGTTGTTAAAAGATAGCCTTGGAGGAAACTCTAAAACTATCATGATTGCCAGTAAGAATTTTAAGTTCTTTTTCTTCAGCATACAGTGTTTCGTGTGAATTAACTGTAGTTACTGAAGTTTAAAGTGTCTCATTAGGAAATAGCACCTTTTTATTAAAAAAAAAAAAAGTTTTTCTGTTCTGAAGAAAAGCACCTACTGTGATCCAGTCTACAGTATTGTATTATTGACTCTTTTTCCCTCTTCCTAGTTACATTAACTTGCCATGTTCTTGGTTATGCAAGCCGACGTCCATGGGGAATGATTCTTAGCTTTGCTGAAAGAACGGGACAGAAACTTCTAACGCTGCTAACTCATGGGAGAAAATCATTGTAGGGACATAGAGTAAAAATAACCCCCCCCTTTTTTTTTTTCTATTTCAAAGCAGAAAATATGGAATTTAAAATTAAGAATCGAGAGGAAAAAGCCCAGTAAATCTAGCAAATAATAACAGTGATATATGTCTCTCTTTTCACTAATTAACAGGAAGAAGCAGAAAAGAGGAAAAAAATGTGCAAAGGGGAGGTCACTGTTGAGGATAACTCAGAAATGCTTTCCCTCCTAACCACGCCCCCACCCCGACACCTTTCCATGTCCCCGTGTCTCCCTACACCCATGCCATGGAGTCCCTGTGGAGGCAAGGGCTCTACCTGGGGGTATGCACCCCAGACGTGGTTGTGTAGTCACTTAAGCCCTGAAATTTGTTGGAGTTGGGGTGTGATTGATTAACCAGAGCTTTAGGCAGAAAAGAATTAGCTGATCTACTGATTCTTTTCAAAAATTATCATGGGCTTCCCTGGTGGCGCAGTGGTTGAGAGTTCTGCCGATGCAGGGGACATGGATTCGTGCCCCGGTCCGGGAAGATCCCACATGCCGTGGAGCGGTTGGGTCCGTGAGCCATGGCCGCTGAGCCTGCGCATCCAGAGCCTGTGCTCCACAACGGGAGAGGCCACAGCAGTGAGACGCCCGCGTACCGCAAAAAAAAAAAAAAAATTATCGTGCTCTGGAGTTTTACAGGTGGTAGGTTTTGCCAGAACTTTTAAAAGGATTTAAATTTCTACTTTACATTGGAAGCATACATAGTTTTGAAATCCTCTTCTTATATTTTCAACAGAGAAAACTCCCTAAGCTGCAGAGGAGATTTGGTTAGATGGCTGATTCTAAACTTAAAAAGAGCGAAATGGCATTTACTTTGGTGTAGTGAGCACTTTTCCTATGAGTCCTAGATAATTTTTAATATTCATGACTGTGGCAATGAATATTTAGTCTATCCAATGACCTGGGGTTAATCTGCCTTTTAAATTACAAACCAACTTTGTGTTAAATGAAACGGAGCGCCGCATAAATTACTTTTTGAATTCATTCTTCACAGCCATTTCACCTGCTGATGTCAATTACGGAGAAACCCTAAGTACTCTTCGCTATGCAAATAGAGCCAAAAACATCATCAACAAGCCTACCATTAATGAGGACGCCAACGTCAAGCTCATCCGTGAGCTGCGAGCCGAAATAGCCAGGCTGAAAATGCTGCTTGCTCAAGGGAATCAGGTTGGCTTTTTCTGAGACTTATGGGTAATTTTCTTTGAGTAATGGCACCAATTTCTAGATCTTAACGAGGCACTTATCTCCGTGGTTGTATTGATTTGAGTAAATAAGTGCTAAGTAAAGCTTTGAATGAGTTCGCCGGCCTCTCCTTTACAGCACGCTCCCGTTGGCCTTTGCATTCATTATGTGCTCCGTGCGTAAGATTTTATCCACTAAACCCAAAATGATTAATTATCTAATAGTTATCAATTATGGATGGAAATTTAGCATGCAATAGGATTAGCAGCATAATCTCCATTAGTGGAAGGAAATCAAGGGGCTTGAGTAATGTTTAAGATTCTACCCAAGCATTTTATGACTTGAAAATGCATTTTAAGAGCATGAGAGACTCATTTGAGCACCTTCCTGAATCTCTGTTTTGTATCGCCCGTTAACAGAAGTGCTTATGGTGATACAGGGACACGTGTGACATCCCTGTGGCCTGGCTCAGGCGATTTCCCTGGGTCTTTGCTTGATTGTTGAAACTGCCTCACTTCAGGATCTCTTGGGGTTTTCGTGAAGGAGCCTTGTCCTTTTGTGTTTTTCACAGAAAACTTCCTTACAGTCTGCATGGTGCACGTACCGAGCTGCATTCTGTGCTCATAGTGTGGTCCGTGCTGTTAGGTTTGGATACTGTTGTGAGAGAGAATCAAGGAGCACTTTTCATTTATTTATTTTTAAATTCTATTTATTTATTTATTTTTTCCCTGTTCAAACTTTATTCTTTTTTTAAAAAATTTTAATTAATAAATAAATTTATTTATTTATTTTCAGCTGCATTGGGTCTTCGTTGCTGCACATGGGCTTTCTCTAGTTGCGGCGAGCGGGGGCTACTCTTTGTTGCGGTGCGTGGGCTTCTTATTGCGGTGGCTTCTCTTGTTGAGCGTGGGCTGTAGGCATGTGGGCTTCAGTAGTTGGGGCACGTGGGCTCGGTAATTGTGGCTCGCGGGCTCTAGAGTGTAGGCTCAGTGGTTGTGGCGCACGGGCTTAGTTGCTCCGCGACATGTGGGATCTTCCCAGACCAGGGCTTGAACCCGTGTTCCCTGCATCGGCAGGCGGATTCTTAACCACTGCACCACCAGGGAAGTCCCTTAATTTTAATTTTTATTGGAGTATAGTTGCTTTACAGTGTTGTGTTAGTGTCTGCTGTGCAGCAAAGTGAATCAGTTATATGTATACATGTATCCCCTCTTTTTTAGATTTCCTTCCCATTTAGGTCACCACAGAGCATTGAGAGTTCCCTTTGCTGTACAGCAGGTTCTCGTTAGTTATCTGTTTTATACATAGTAGTGTATATGTGTCCGTCCCAATCTCCCAATTCATCCCATCCTCCCCCATTTGGTATCCACACATTTGTTCTCTACATCTCTGTCTCTACTTCTGCTTTGCAAATAAGTTCATTTGTACCGTTTTTCTAGATTCCAAGGGGCACTTTTTAAAACATTTGAGTTAGGGAGTTCCCTGGCGGTTCAGTGGTCAGGATTCGGTGCTTTCGCTCTTGTGGCCCTGGTTCAGTCCTGGTTGCGGAATTAAGATCCCATAAGTTGCATGGTGTGGCAAAAAAAAAAAAAAAAAAAGAAAATTTAGGTTAAATTAGAGTTAGAAATAAACAAAGATACAGTTCTTCCCATTTTCCTAACCCATGAATGGATGTCTGAAGTGTATCATTAAAAAAACCCAAAACTTTTCTTTAAATGCACACTGCTCTCTCCAGAGCAGCTTTCCCTTCAGGAAAATATGGCCCTCGAAGTCCTTGACATCCCGTGAGTGGTTTGACCTGTGAGAATATCGACAGGCCGAGAACCTTGCTGAGTTTCCTGAGTCCCGGAACACACCCAACAGTGCTGTCCCATAAGTTGGTGGACTGCAGTGGGCCAGGAGTTGCTCTGCACCTAAAAATATCTCCATATACATTGTACTTTTTGATGTGGAGCTTTCCCGTGTGTGAAAAGAAACTGTCAGCACAAAGAGTCCAGCTGCACGTGATGTTGTCAGGCTTGAATCACTTATGACATGAGCCACAATAGTCATTTTTATTTATACCCCTTATTATTGGGATCTTTTTTCATTGTTTCAACAACATTTATCTGAAGTAAATATGTAAGGATCATCTAAACTACTACATGTGAAGGGAAGTACTCGGAAAATTCTTGGTTTAATTTCTTGTACTTAATATGTTAATAAGTTATGAGAAAAGAAAGATCAGCCTTTTAAAATTAAACTGAGGAAATCCTCGAAAGGAGCTTTATCACATGGACAGAAAAACTTTACTAAAACTTTTACACGTTCTGTCTGAGGAACGTCTTCACAGGTGTTGTATATGCCAGTTGCCTTATACTTTGTGATCTTTTGTTGTCTTGTTTCTTTCATAGCCAAAGACGACCACAGTCATTAAAGGATTATTTTTGTTACTGTAGTTTTGGGGGTGAGGATAGAAAAGATAGTTGTCTCTTTTAGGATAAACTGAAGATAAAATTCTTTGATAAATGTAATACATTACAATAAAAACAGGAGTCCAATTTAAAATAATTTATCACACTCTGAAGCTAAAAATTGTTGTGAGACAATACAGGCTTATCCAAAATTAATTAAATTTGTGATGCTCAATAAAATAAGCAAGTGTTCTTTTTTTTAAAATAAAGGTAACATTCACAAGTTTTTTATTTATTTATTGGCTGCGTTGGGTCTTCGTTGCTGTGCATGGGCTTTCTCTAGTTGTGGTGAGCGGGGGCTACTCTTTGTTGCGGTGTGTGGGCTTCTCATTGCGGTGGCTTCCCTTATTGCAGAGCACGGGCTTCTAGGCGTGTGGGCTCTAGAGCGCAGGCTCAGTAGTTGTGGCGCATGGGCTTAGGTGCACCGCAGCATGTGGGATCTTCCTGGACCAGGGCTCGAATTCGTGTCCCCTGCAGTGGCAGGTGGATTCTTAACCACTGTGCCACCAGGAAAGTCCAGCAGGTGTCCTTAAGTGTAAATTTTTCTAGTGACATTGCTCCATTCCCACAATATCCTATTCCAGATGCTGCCATGATTCATTGAAAATGCTACTCATACCAGAGTTCTATTTCGGGGTTATTTGTTTAAGTACAGGCAAATAAAATCTCCTACTTTTAATAATTTTATTTGCCTATGCAGAATGCCATGTGTATCAGAGTCTCAAAGCACAATTTAAGTACGGCAAAAGATTCTTACACGTATTTGCTTCTCCGACTACATAGATTACAAACATACAGATATATATGCAGTGGTTTATATTCACACATATATGTATATATACATACATGTGAACTCTTCATTGAAGAATTATACATATTATAAGTATACATACCAGTGAATTTTCACAAGCCGCATTCACCCATCTAACCTGCATTCCATCAAGAAACAGAACGTTACCAGCGCCCTAGAAACTCCTCTTCTTGTTCCTTTCCCAGTACTGCATGCCCTTCCCCTCAAGGGTAACCTCTATCCTGACTTCTTAAGGCAGAGGTTGGTTTTCAGTTTTGCCTGTTCTTGTTCTTTATATAAATGTAATCATGTCGTATATACTCTTGCTCTCACTTTTACATAAGATCAAATTTATGGAATTTAAAAACATAGGCAGGGAGATTGGTTCAAGATGGCGGAGTAGAGGACATTCTCTCACTCGCTCTTTTTTTTTTTTTTTTAACATCTTTATTGGGGTATAATTGCTTTACAATGGTGTGTTAGTTTCTGCTTTATAACAGAGTGAGTCAGTTATACATATATATATGTTCCCATATCTCTTCCCTCTTTGTCTCCCTCCCTCCCACCCTCCCTATCCCACCCCTCCAGACAGCCACAAAGAACCGAGCCGGTTTCCCTGTGCCATGCGGCTGCTTCCCACTGGCTATCTACCTTACGTTTGTTAGTATATATATGTCCATGTCTCTCTCTCGCCCTAACACACCTCACCCTTCCCCCTCCCCATATCCTCAAGTCTGTTCTCCAGTAGGTCTCTGTCTTTATTCCTGTTTTACCCCTAGGTTCTTCATAACATTTTTTTTTTCTTAAATTCCATATATATGTGTTAGCATACGGTATTTGTCCTTCTCTTTCTGACTTACTTCACTCTGTATGACAGACTCTAGATCTATCCACCTCATTACAAATAGCTCAATTTCGTTTCTTTTTATGGCTGAGTAATATTCCATTGTATATATGTGCCACATCTTCTTTATCCATTCATCCGACGACGGGCACTTAGGTTGTTTCCATCTCCGGGCTATTGTAAATAGAGCTGCAATGAACATTTTGGTACATGACTCTTTCTGAATTCTGGTTTCCTCAGGGTATATACCTAGTAGTGGGATTGCTGGGTCATATGGTAGTTCTATTTGTAGTTTTTTAAGGAACCTCCATACTGTTCTCCATAGTGGCTGAACCAATTCACATTCCCACCAGCAGTGCAAGAGTGTTCCCTTTTCTCCACACCCTCTCCAGCATTTATTGTTTCTAGATTTTTTGATGATGGCCATTCTGACTGGTGTGAGATGATATCTCATTGTAGTTTTGATTTGCATTTCTCTAATGATTAATGATGTTGAGCATTCTTTCATGTGTTTGTTGGCAGTCTGTATATCTTCTTTGGAGAAATGTCTATTTAGGTCTTCTGCCCATTTTTGGATTGGGTTGTTTATTTTTTTGTTATTGAGCTGCATGAGCTGCCTGTAAATTTTAGAGATTAATCCTTTGTCAGTTGATTCATTTGCAAATATTTTCTCCCATTCTGAGGGCTGTCTTTTGGTCTTGTTTATGGTTTCCTTTGCTGTGCAAAAGCTTTGAAGTTTCATTAGGTCCCATTTGTTTATTTTTGTTTTTATCTCCATTACTCTAGGAGATGGGTCAAGAAGGATCTTGCTGTGATTTATGTCATAGAGTGTTCTGCCTATGTTTTCCTCTAAGAGTTTGATAGTTTCTGGCCTTACATTTAGGTCTTTAATCCATTT